ACTTACAGTAAACTGATTTTTAGCAAGGGTGCCAAGATAATTCAGTGGGGAAAGACCAGTGTTTTCAATAAGTGGTACTGGGGACAACCCCATACCCACAGTACAAGAAAATGAAGTTGGACCCACTCCTGACATCACACACAACAACTCAAATGGAATGGAGACCTAAAAATAAGACTAAACTGTAAACCATTCGTAAGAAAACACAGACATAAATCTTTGTGATGTTTGGTTAGACAAAGCCTTCTTAGATATGACACCAACAACACAAGCAATAAAAGAAAGAAACAGACAATCTGGATCTTTATCAAACTTTAAAATTTTGTACTTCAAACAAAATCATCAAGAAAATGAAGGAGCGTCTGAGTGGCTCAGTCAGTTAGGCACTTGACTTCGACTCAGGTCGTGATCTCATGGTTCATGAATCCGAGCCTCACACTGGGCTCTAGGCTGTCAGCGTAGGATTCCCTCTCTCTCTTTCTCCCTCTCTCCCTCTCTCTCTGCTCCTTGTTCTCTTGCTCCCTCTCTCAAAAATTAATTAATTGATTTTTAAAAAATGAAAAGAAACCCAAAGCATGAGAGAAAATACTTATAAGTCATTTACTGGATAAGGGATTTGTGTCAAGAGTATACAAGGAATTCTTATCACTCAACAATAAAATAATAAAGAGGTAATAAAATGATAAATAATTTAAAACAAAGAGAAAGGATCTGAATAGACAGCCCACACAAAAAAAATTTTCTTAAATATACCAATGGCCCAGAATTACCTTGATTCCAAAACCAGACAAAGACCCGATTAAAAAGGAGAACTACAGACCAATTTCCCTGATGAACATGGATGCAAAAATTCTCAACAAAATACTACCAAACTGGGGGGATGTCTATTCTCACCACAGATATTCAACACAGTGTTGGAAGTCCTAGCCTCAGCAATAAGACAACAAAAAGAAATAAAAGGCATTCAAACTGGCAAGGAGGAAGTTAAACTTTCACTCTTCACGAATGACATGACACTCTACATGGAAAACCCAAAGGACTCCACCAAAAAACTGCTAGAACTGATCCATGAACTCAGCAAAGGTGCAGGATATAAAATCAAAGTACAGAAATTGGTTGTATTTCTATACACCCATGAAGCAACAGAAAGAGAGATAAAGCAAGGAATTGATCCCATTTACAATTGCACTAAAACCATAAAATACCAAGGAATAAACCTAACCAAAGAGGTAAAAGATCTACACTGAAAACTATAGAAATCTTATGAAAGAAATGGAAAAACATTCCATGCTCACGAATTGGAAGAAGAAATATTGTTAAAATGTTGATACTATCCAATGCAATCCCTATCAAAATAACACCAGCATTCTTTACAGAGATAGAACACACAATTCTAAAATTTGTATGGAACTGAGAAAGATCCTGAATAGCCAAAGTAATGTTGAAAAAGGAAACCAGAACTGGAGGCATTATAATTCTGGACTTCAAGCTGTATTACAAAGCTATAGCCATCAAGACAGTATGGCACTGGCACAAAAACAGGTGCATAGATCAACGGAACAGAATAAAGAACCCAGAAATGGACCCACAAATGTAGGGCCAACTAATCTTTGACAAAGAAAAGAAGTATCCAATGGGAAAAAGTCTCTTCAGCAAATGGTATTGGGAAAATGGGGCAGTGACATTCAGAAGAATGAACCTGGACCACTTTCTTATATTATACACACAAATAAACTCAAAATGGATAGAAGACCTAAATTTAAGAAAGGAAACCATCAAAATCCTAGGGGAGAAAACAGGCAACAACCTCTTTGACCTTGGCTGCAGCGACTTCTTACTTGACATGTCTTGGGAGGAAAGGGAAATAAAAGCTTTCTGCACAGCAAACAATGAGCAAAACTAAAAGGCAAATGATGGAATGGGAAAAGAAGATATCTGCAAATGACATACTAGATAAAGGGTTAGTATCCAAAATCTATAAAGAACTTACCAACTCAACACCCCAAAACCAAATAATCTAGTGAAGAAATGGGCAAAAGACATGAACAGACACTTTTCCAAAGAAGACATCCAAATGGCTAACAGACACATGAAAAAATGCTCAACATCACTCACCATCAGGGAAATACAAATCAAAATCACAATGAGAACCACCTCATACCTGTCCGAATGGCTAAAATTAACAACTCAGGAAACAACAGATGTTGTTTAGGACGTGGTGGGAATGCACTGTTGGTGGGAATGCTAACTACTGTTGCCACTCTGGAAAACAGTATGGAAGTTCTTCAAAAAATTAAAAATAGAGCTACGCTATAATCTAGCAATTGCGCACTACTCGGTATTTATCCAAAGGATACAAAGATGCTGCTTTGAAGAGGGACATGCACCCTGATGTTTACAGCAGCACTGACAACAGCCAAAGTATGGAAAGATCCCAAATGTCCATCGACTGACGAGTGGGTAAAGAAAATGCGGCATGTGTGTGTGTGTGTGTGTATATGTGTGTGTGTGTGTGTGTGTGTGTGTGTGTGTGTGAATACTACTCAGTGATCAAAAAGAATGAAATCGTGCCATTTGCAACAATGTGGATGGAACTAGAGTGTATTATGCTAAGTGAAATAAGTCAGTCAGAGAAAGACAAATATATGATTTCACTAATATGTGGAATTTAAGATACAAAACAGATGCACATGGGGAAGGGAAGCAAAAATAAGATAAAAAGAGATGGGGGAAAACCATAAGAGAATCTTATATATAGAAAACAAATTGAGGGTTGCTGGTGGGGGGTTGGGCTAAATGGGTGATGGGTATTAAGGAGGGCACTTGTTGGGATGAGCACTGGGTGTTATATGTAAGTGATGAATCACTAAATTCTACTCCTGAAATCATTATCACACTATATGTTAACTAACTTGGATTTAAAGAAAAGAAAAAAACCTATACTAATAGCCAATAAGTCCATGAAAATATGCTCGGTATCATTAGTCATTAGGGACAGAAATCAAAACCACAATGAGAACTCACTTCATACCACACTAGCATGGCTAAAATCAGACCACCAATTTGTGGTAAAAGTGAGGGGAAATGGGGCACCTGGGTGGCTCAGTTGGTTAAGTGTCCAACTTCGGCTCAGGTCATGATTTCATGGGTCATGACTTTGAGCCCCGTGTTGGGCTCTGTGCTGACAGCTCAGAGCCTGGAGCCTGCTTTGGATTCTGTGTCTCCCTCTCTCTCTGCCCCTCCCCTGCTCATACTCTGTCTCTCTCTCAAAAATAAATAATAAACGCTAAAAAAAAAATGTAAGGGCGTGGGGACACAGGAACCCTCCCACACTGCTGGTGAAACTGTAAAATGCTGCAGCAGCTTTGGAAGACAGCTTGTCAGTTCCTCACAATATTAAAACACAAGAGCTACTATGTGACCTAGCCATTCCACTCTTGGTCTATACACCAGAGAGAAATGAAAACATATATCCACACAAACCTTCATACAAATGTTCACAGCAGCAGTATTAATAACAGTCAAAAGGCAGAAATAGCCAAAGGGGCGCCTGGGTGGCTCAGTCAGTTAAGTGTCTGACTTCAGTTCATGATCTCACAGTTGGTGAGTTTGAGCCCCACATCGGGCTCTGTGCTGACAGCTCAGAGCCTGGAGCCTGCTTCCGATTCTGTGTCTCCCTCTCCTGGCTTGTGCTCTCTTTCTGTTTCTCAAAAAATGAATAAACGTTAAAAAAAATTTTTTTAAGCAGAAACAGCCCATGATGAATAGATAGATAAAAGGAGGTATATCCACATAATGGAGTCTTATTTGGAAATAAAATAATTCCATGCTGGAATATGGATGTACCCTGAAAATAGGATGCTGAGGGCAAGAGGGAGTCACAAAAGAACAAATATTGCATTATTCCATTCATCTCAAATATCCGCAATGAGCAAATGTACAGAGACAGAAAGAGGAGGGGCTGGCCTGGGTAAGTGGGGTTAGGGAGAAAGGGGAGTGACCGCTAACGGGCACGGGGCTTCGTTGAGGGATGACGGCAACGTTCTAATGTCAGACTGTGGCGCTGGAGGCCCAACTCCGTGAATATACTAACAGCCACTGAATTGTGTGCTTCAGACGGGTGAACTGCACGTTGTACGTGGAGGAGCCGTGTGGTATGTGAGTCACACTGCGTCAAGTTGTTAGAAGTTTCCCCACAGTGTGACAATTACACGAGCGCTCTCAAAGGTGGAAGTCATACTCCGTCATCCCACGGGCCTGACTCCATGCCGGCCCTGAGCCTGGGCATGGGTGCGAGCTCTACCAGCATGTTTGTGTCCCCTTTGCCACCCACCACCACGTCTACTCTGGCTCCCTGCACATAGTCGATGATCAATAATTATCTGACTTCCACCTTAGTAAACTCTTTCCTCATAGATAATCGAAAATAAACTTGAACTTGGTAACGATGTTCACAAATGCCAAGTCGGTGATGAATGGCCTCCCCAAATACCCTTCTGTACATTTTCTGAAATGTTGGAAGTATGGCTGTTGGTTACACAAAAACCTTTTTAATGGAAAACTATTTATGGATATTGATGCTACAGAGAGAAACTAAGTCACTCTTTGGCCTTAATAATTTAACATCTGCAAATTACCAGAGTTCTAAATGTATACTCTGACAGGGGAATCACAGATGCGCACACAACCGCACGAAAGTATAAATTTAAGTCAAAAGGCCTTTCGTGGTCACCTAAACCAAAGAAGACTCCGCATCAGTTTATTTTGACAGAAGAAAGTGTGAGCACAAATGAGCAATTCCTTTAGAAACCATACTTGAAAGAAAGCTGGAAATGATCTTTCTTTCTGGCTTTGTCGTTGGTGAGAAGCCGGGAGGAGGGTGAGCTGCCTGAGGAGGAGAAAAGGTTATGTGAACGCGCGCAGGAGTAAGCGGGCACCACAGCCACTCCCCACGATTTCATTCAGTCATAATATTAGCCTCTTCTCCAAGTGTGACTCACCAGGTCGATAGGATCGATTAACGGCTGGTCTGGTTGAAATACGGAATCCTCATTTTCTTCATCATTCTTTTTGCAAGACATTTGTTTAGAAGGAAGCAAGTTATACCACAGAGTGAAAATCTCATTGGAAAACGGTAAATCGGCCAGGCTGATCTGAGTTCCAGCCTATGTGAAGTGAAGGGGGAGGGGGAGAAAAGAAGAGAGACAATAAAATGTTTACATTCATATTTGCTTCCTCTCATATAATTAAGATTATTGGGCAGGCTTGTGGTAGGATTTAACACTTGATCTTAGCCAAAAGGCCGAGAAGTGACTTGTGGTAGGATTTTTAAAATGCAATACTCATGTTCTACGGCACTGGGGAATTTTTTTTTTTTAACTTGAAAATGTCTTATATTTTTAGGTGCAACTAAATAAGAAAGAATCCCAATCTAGAAGCCAGGACTAAGATTATTTTGTGAATACTGTTTTGCCAAAGTCTAATGACAAAGCATGCAACTTTCTGTACATGTGGAATTATTTTTAAGTGAAAAGACAAAAAATGACAATTAAAAGAGTAAGCAACTGAGCAGAAACCAGAATACCTCTTACAATACGCTGCAAGGGTCGTTTGATTATTACTCACAAAACCCCATTGTCACTGTAAAGTTCAAAAACATAAAAACTCTATCGTGGTTCTTAAATGAGAGATCAGAAAGCAAAATTTTAATTTGGTTAAGTTAGTAGAATGTCAAAAAAAGCATTTATATTCCAGCAAATCACACAGATGAGCCAGAATCTAACTGAACTCTACCGTTTCTCTTAAAAGGCTATCAATGAACATAATTACTAATCTCACAGAGCTCCCGACCTACACGCGGATTGCGGTGCGCCTTTCTGACAGCCTCGTGAGTCTGTCTGTTAGCCTTGCTTCTTTTTTTTATTCTCAGGTAGTATTATCAAATACCGTTTTCATATAAAGAAAAGGAAATGCTTATAAGAAATCTGTCAACCTTTTAAACTCTGTTCATCACGAAGTGTGTTTTCAGGTTTCCTGCAGGACCACAGCGGAGGGGCAACGGGAAAGCCAGGCTGCCGCTGATCACACGGCTCACCCCTAGGTGCTCCTGTCTGACCCCCCTGCGTGACCTTCCTGGTCTGTGATGGGTTTCTGGTTACGACGTGCAGTGCGGTGCGAAACTCGCTTTTAGTTATATACGGAGTCTTTAGCTCTAGCATTTAAGTATCATGTTCCTGGAGAGAGCAGCACTGCATCTTCCTTGGGGCCGAGACAGCAGGGCTGGGGACGATGGTGGCCGACACGGCCCGGCTCCCGCTGGCTCGGAATCCGTGCCAGTGCATTACGTGTGGGGTGTGTTTTGATACCTGGCCCCAGCACTCGCTAGCTGTGTGGCCCTGGACACACGACCTCTTGCAGTGGCTCCTTATCTGAAAGGAGGGTCATCACACCTTTTCCCCAGGACGGTCGTGAGGAGTAAGTGACAGAACGTATACAAAGCACCCGGCACAGGACTCGTGCGGGGAAAAACAAACATGCTCAGAGTGATCATCGCGACAGAGGTCAAAGTTCGGCTTTAGCCAGAGGCGAGACTGGAAGGTAGGTTTTCCAGAAAATCGCAATTAAGAAGCAGATTTGAAAGTTCCCGAATAAGAGAATGAGAGCCAGAAATCAGTACTTGAGATAAAAGAATGGACCCATCGTTGGGTCCACGGCGCGGGGCGGGTGTGCGGCGGCACAGGCGCTGGCAAACGGCAGCTACACAGACGCCTGCTGTCGGGACATGCGGTCAGAGCCACCGTGTGGGACGGCAACCACGAGCCGACCTACCAGGCACTCCTCGCTTCGGTGTTTACTGACGGGGCAGAGGTCCACCCTCAGGGTCTTCTGCTGCAAGGCTGTTTGGGAGATGGCCACCCTGAACATATCATTGAACAGAATGGATTCTGTGGCTGGATGGACTTTTGTTCGGAACAGACAGCTGACATCGGCCGAGGAGGGAAGCAGAGCAACCCTAAAATATCTGCGAAGAACAAGAGTAAAACGGATTTCACACGTGCACCAGGGATACGAGGTTCGCAGTTCTCGTCCGAAATTATCTGCGAAAGAGAGAAACACGGGGGGGGAACACGGGGTTCACGACCGACCATTACTGGAGCCATCGTGGGCGTGTGTGCGCTCAGGGGCAGGGGGCCTGTGCGTAACCCCGCCTGACAGTCGCCACGGGGCTGCGGCAGACGCACACGACGGGAAAGTGAGGACGACGCGGACCTGAAGGGCAGGTAAATGTAACGTCCCGCCGGTTCCAAAATGCAGTGTCCTGAGCTGGGAAGACAGGGTCAAGCTGTCTCTGCCCCAAAAGTACTCATCCTCAGGATTAAACAAGAGGTGCTGATTACCATTTCCCTGGAATGGAATCCATTATCCTACTAGCGAAAAAGAAAGGCTACTTAGCCTAGAAGAAAACTTAAAAATATTATTGCCTAGCATCACGGAAATTTCAGATACGACAAACTGTTTTAAGAGGCTTATGCTTTGTAAAATTCAGAGGAAGGGCTCTCGAAGAACAACAACATCTAATACTACCTTCAAGGGATTTTTCTAAGCACATGTTACATGAGGAATCACAACTCTTAGAAACAGCACGCAGTATTTTCTTTTAAATCCCAGAAAGAGAACACCCATTAAGTCCCTTCCCCGCCCCCAATTCCAGGCTTGTCTAATTCATATTCTAAGAGAGCCCTTCTCCAAGTATGGAAGCTGTAAGTTCACGTGCTGGGCTGAGGAATGTCACATCATCTCCGTATTTTACATCAACACTGATTATGGAGACTCAGCATTCGTAGACTAGAGGGCTTCGGCCACTGCTGCCAAGGTGGGGGACTCAGCAGAAGCTATCCTTTTGTGTCTGCAGCATGGGGAAGCCCGAGGGGAAGGTTCCTGGAGAGCTGCACCGGAAGGAAGGAATTTTCTGGTTTTCCAGATTTCGGTTTGTCTCTGTACCAGGGGCCCAACCACTTGTGTGACCCAAAAATGTTTCCCCATCAAGAAATTTTACATGATTAAGAGCCAGAGGCACAGGGGCCAGAAGGTATAGGGGCTTTTCCTCTTGTTCTGCTGCAGGTGGCGGGAGGGGGTCTCCCCACAACCGGAGTCAGGAGCCACTTACAAATCACTGTGGCTGCTGCCGACCAGCTGGGGCATAAGGTCTGCTTGGTGTAATGGATAATCAGAAAGTAAATTTTGAAGTGGGGGCGGGGGGGGGAGCGGGAAAGAACTGTTTTACGATATTTCATATAAGCTGTTGCTTTTTGCAAGGCTTCAGGTACGGGTTTAAGAATGCAGCGCTCTGCACCTCAGGGGAGTTCAGAGCAGTTAGGCGAGTAGTTGCCCACAAGCAGTCTTTACTGGGCTTGCTATCCCTGCGGATCCCACCCACACCTGGGCCCAAGAGGTCCTGGGAGCCCAGTCCCCTCCTGGACTCCGATGCCCTTCGGCTTTGATGGTCATTAACACACAGACACCCACTGGCTCTATTCTACTGGCCACTGAAGGGCCTCCATCCAGCTTCATTGTTATTCAGATCTAGTTTCTCCTCTCTGACAATTCTTAGGACATTCGGGGGTGGATCTGAGAGTAAACCCACAGCGAAAACATCCAGGACTCTTACATGAGCTCTCTTCAATGTCTGTCTCAGTGAGGAGCATACACCATCACTAAGAAAAACATCCACCTGCTGGGTACAGGGTCGGGGGGGGGGTCACCCCTCAATAGCTCTGTGTTCTTTCCAAGCCTTTGTACTGGCAGATTGACCATATCAGTAAGTGCGAGGCTGTCAGATGTATGGATTCTGGATGCGAAGTCGGAGGTGCGAGGTTGAAATCTGGCCTCCTTCTGGTGCTCTGTGGCCATGGACCTTTCAGAGTCCCTGAAACTCCGACTCCAGCAAGTGTGAATGGTGGTAAAGATTGCTAGAAATATCCGTCAGGAAATGCAGGCCCTAAGCAACAGACTATGTAGCAGTAACGACATTGCTTCATTTGACGACGTGAAGTAACTTTAAGAAATTAGGGGTCACAGGGAAACGCACACTTGATGTTAAAGAAGGATACTCTTACACGTAACACGATACGGTGCCTGGCAGGGATGTGCTGATAAATAAACGTTTACATCACCACATTTTCACATACAAGATCAGAAAATCCCTGCAAACCAACAGTGGTCATAATTAGGCCACAACAAACATTTTAATAAATTAAATTTTTAAAAAAAAAGGCCCCAAAACAGCACAATATAGAATTTCTGGTTGTAAAGGGAGATTCAAAAATCTTGGTTCCCATGCTAACACTGAATTGGTTGAATAAGGATCAAATCTACTATGCTTTTCACACATTCTGCATTTCCTTTTGTTTCATCCACTGCGGACTCTGAGCCGTGATCGGCCCGGCCACGCCCTTCTCCCCCTCATCTGGATGAACCGCTAGATCACAACGTACAATCTATCAGACGTGAACAACTTTCAGTCCTTCAACTGGTTCTTGGCTACTTTTACTTACACTTTTGAAGTGTGAGGTATCAAGAAGGCATGGAGATTTCGGAGCTGTGCTAAAATCACCATGAAACTTGACCTTCTGGCATCGTATCTGTCGAGAGAAGAGCTGATGAGATAAGGACGGGGCGAAGGCCACTCGTTGCTGCCCTGAGTCCCAGAACTGCCGTCCCCCTGGGCCTTCCCTTACCTGAGTCCGATCTGCACCTGGGCAGTCTCCACGATGGTGACATCCCCTTCGCTGTACGGAACATCTTCAACTTCACTAGGCCTGGGGGCAGGGTGACAGCGGGCGCAGGGGAAGCGTTTCGGAACAGGGGTATTGACTGCTGTGGTTACTGTTTGCCACTTACTGATTCTGAACGAAAACCTGTCTCTGACACCACCCGGTGGTCCCGACCCCAGCGAAAGCTCACTCTTTTAGATCTTTCTTCACCTTTTTGAGAGCAGTCTGCCTCCGAGCCTTTAGGGGAAAGGCTTCCCTACACTAGACTTCCCTGAGCCTTCCTGGGGCCCACCGCAGCCCTAGACACACGCCAGGCTTTCAGAAAGACACTCGAGGAGCTCCATGTGCCAGTTGGGTACTGGCCAAGAACTCCAAAATTCTCATTTAAATCAAGTTTTAGGGGTGCCTGGGTTTCTCAGTCATTTAAGCGCCTGATTTCGGCTCAGCTCATGATCTCACGGCTCGTGAGTTAGACCCCCGCGTGGGGCTCTGTGCTGACAGCTCGGAGCCTGGAGCCTGCTTGGGATTCTGTCTCCCTCCCTCTCTGCCCCTCCCCCACTCGGGCTCTGTCTCTCTGTCTCTCTCTCTCAAAAATAAACATTGCCAAAAATTTTTTCTTAAATCAAGTTTTAAGTCTCTAAATGGGATGTTTCTGGTATACTGAAAATTTCAGGCAGACCATCTCTTTAACACCAACAACCCCTCCCACTGTGCAGGGCGGACTAAGGGCGGTAGTGCTCAGTCTAGAGCTCCCCACCCTGCGCACGGCTACGGGGACAGCCGGTGTCCCCGAAAAGCACTCCCGCTGAGTCCTTACTGTTTCACAAACGCTTCGTAAACGCCACTGTCTCCAGCCACAGACTCGTCAGACACGGCAGCTGACACACAAGCAGTCTTCTCCCCAAGCAAGTGGATCACTCTTCTTTTCGGTAATGATTTTTCCACGTCTAGGGAGGGCAGAGCGATACCACCTCTTAGGATTTATTGCTCAGGAAAGCTAAGTATAAAAGTACACACGTGGTTTGGTCACGAGAAATCCAAAACACTGGCACCCGAGAAGCAAGGACATCGCTGTGTGAATTCATGGAAGGGGCTGCCGTCAGGCACCAGGACTTGTCGGGACGCTGGATATTTTGGTCATCGTTCGAGAGAGGACATGGTTTCTCCCCGTCCTGGCAGATTTGTAGGGAAGGGGCAGACGAGACACATCCTCACTGGCCCCTCGCCTCTCTGTCAGGCATTCGCTGCAGTTTCCAAAAGCTCAGTGGCAAGGAGAGCCGTGCCCCTCAAATATTGAAGGAGCTTCCATAGAAGAGGGCGTCTCGCCACTCAAGGGCAAGAGAGGCTGCCGCCTGTTTTGCTCTCCCCTTCTCTCCGTCTGCCCTGTTTTATATGACCTGTGCTGCCACTCTAACAGAAGTAAAAGGAAAAAGAGTCTTTGACTTAGACAATTCCTCGCCAGCTAATACCATTAAAAACAACTTTGTGCTGCTGAATCTTCAGCACCAACTACCACTTAACTTTTATCTCTAACTCATATTCATACACCGCGTCCTGCAGTGAGCAAGGGGCCTTCATTTAAAGCTGCGTCCCTGTGTAATAAGCTGCAAGCCTGTGGAGTTCTTTCATCCTCCAGCCAGCGAGCAGGGATCAGGATTGGTATGCATCTCGCCCCCTTCGGAGTCGTGACTTTACATCTTGTTAAGATGTTTAAGTTTTAAGGCTTCAGATTACAGGATTGATTGCTGCATTTTCCCTTTTATTTCTGGCAGTGGGAATGCTTTTTCCTTGATGATGAAGGGCCTCTCTCCGCCCACCCCCCTTCGTGAGGGGTGAAGGTGATGACATGATTTATTGATTACCCCCAGGAATATCCACAGAAGCTGAAATTGACTTTGACAATGACAGAGACTGACTGGAAGGACTTCATCGTTCCAACGCGATCTCTGTCCTCTAGCAAGATGTGCATATGGGGAGTCCGACTTTACCTGCAGAAGGCTCCAGAGTGGGGAGGGGGCCGGGCCGCTTCACCACCACGAGCCACCCGCTCCCACGCGGAGGTCAGACGCCCCCAGAGAGGACCTGGTGATCCGACCTGGAGAGGATGGGTCTTTCCAGTTCAATACCTACTTTTTAGTTGTTTCCACACATGACGCTGAGTCCTCTTTAAAAATAAAGCTCTTGGGCAGAATTCTTTTAGGGGGACTTTTTACTAGCAGCTTTCTGATCGAGGATGCGGTTGAGTGAAAAGCTGTGTCCTGGAAGTTTCACAGACAAGGGGCTCCGGACACAGACTTCTCAGGCCCAGCGATAAGAGTGAGGCGACGGCCAGGCAGGGCCAAAGGACCCAGGTGGGCTCGGGCCCTGGGCCACCGTCAGGCTGCTCCCTCCTTCCCCAGCCGCCGGCTTCGCCACCCCACCCTGGCGAGAGGACTCTTGAGAAGTGTCGCTAGAGAGTGCCAGCCACACAAAGAGGGAGGACAGCTGTGAAATGCTCCAGATCCTTCCAGCACGAGCACAGAAAACACTCCGCTTTCCTCCCTTGCTTGGTCCTTCTCTCATAAACTCCAGTGTGTTGCGGCGGGAGTGTGTTTGGCGCAGCAAGTGCAGATCGGAGCGGGGCCCCTGGGGACTGGCACTGGCCGTTTCCCTTCACATTTTGTTCCAGGCGAGCTCCGAAACACTCCATCCTCCTTAGGCCACAGCTACGGCCATTTGCCAGCAAGTCTACCATCCTGTTCTCTCTATGTCCACATCTAATATATCGAAAGCTTCTGCCTTGCAGAGGGATACGAATACTACAAACAAGAATTCAATTCTCCCTCTGGGTCTGTGGCCGCGGTCAAAGGCAGCAGTGGAAACCAGTCAGCAGCACCTTCCTGGGCTGCAGCGAGCCAGGCGTCCACCAGATGGCAGCATAACACTAGCGCATCGGAAGCAGCTCTCTCCAAACTGACTTTAGGCAGAAAGGGAGAGTCGGCAGGAAACAAAAATTGTATTTATATAGAATTCCCTGAACAATCTAAACATTGAGCCCCGGTACTAATTAGCTGGTATGCTAATTGCCTTGGTTTTCAACTGTTGTAGGCTGACTTTTAAAACAAAGCCCTCTTCTTTGCCTGACTGTTTCAGAACCAGAATCTATTTGGAAGGGGGAGGCATGTACACAAACCATGTTCCCAGCCGGCTGCCACCCTACAGAGGGCTTCTGGACCACAGGGCAGATGCTTAACGATCAAATCTATTGAACAGGAGGAGTGACTTCTATTTGATAAGGGAAAACATGTCTATTCCAGGTATATCAGTAAAAACTTCTCGAATGAAGCCGAAATGAGTAAGCAGCAGACAGAGAAGGGGGCAGCACGATTCGCTTATGTGGAAACAGTAACCTTCCTACGACTCTTCTTAACATAATTAAGAGGGAAAGCGTGGTCTCCGCTTACCTGCAGTTCCTTCATACAAGGGTTCCCGGGCACACTCGCTGAGGTCTTTGTCCTCTGCAAGAGACTGGGACACTCCTCCTGAGTTCGAGTCCAGCAAGATCTGATTGTCACTGAGGCCAATATCTGCAAAATGGCTGCTCAATTCACAGTCTTCAAAGTCAGCGGTGAACCGATGGAGAGGGACATCGTGAGAAGACATGGGGAACGTGCCTTCCAGGACCAGGGGAGAGCCAGGAGGGGACAAGGAGGAGAGGGAGGACCGTGAGGACAGGGACGTCACGGACTTGGGGGCCTCAGTCCGTGAGGGGGTGTGGCCTGTGGCCGTGGCTGCGGCCCCACAGAGGCCGCTCTGGCCGGGCTGGCTGGGGGACTTGACCACCTCGTTCTCATGGATGGTGGTGATGGGTCCAGAAGGAATGTAGCCGCCTTTCTCCTGCAGAAGGAGGTCCAGTTTACACTGATAATCCGTGTCCACCTGGTCGCCCTGACTGGTGTAGTAGAGCTCTCCGGAACTGAGGGAGCTGAGCGAGCCTCTGCTGGACGTGTTCAGAGACCCCCGGCTGGAGGCCAGGGAGCCCAGGCTGCTCCCGGACGACATGGACAGGGTGCTGGCAGAGAGGCTGAGAGGAGGGGAGCACTCGCTGTGAAAACCATAGGACACGCAAACCCCAAGCACCATGCCCACCGGCCGGTACGGCCCCCAGGGGGCGCCAAAGAACATCGTGACGGGGCCAGGGGGGGGGGCGGGGGGTGCTGACTCAACATGTTCACCCTGGCTCCCTAACTGCCCTCTGAACAGCAATTCTGTCCTAACGATCAAGTCCCTGCTGCAAAATTTAAAACAAAAGTGATAAATACCTATTGACAAATCTACCTGCACAGATATCCAGAAGCAACTACGCAAGTTAATACTATGGAGGGAGTAGGGGCGCCTGCATGGCTCTGTCGGTTAAGCGTCCGACTTCGGCTCAGGTCATGATCTCACCGTGCGGGACTTCGAGCCCCAAGTCCGGCTCGGTGCTGACAGCTCAGAGCCTGGAGCCTGCTTCAGATTCTGTGTCTCCCTCTCTCTCTGCCCCTCCCTTGCTCACGCTTTGTCTCTTTCTCAAAAAATAAACATGAAAAAAATTTAAAAAAATAATAATATGGACGGGGGAAAATAGCATAAATGGTATAGAGTGTTGCAAGTTATTCTGCTTAAAGAATAAAGCTTTTAATTTCAAGAGAGGGAAAAGGCAAGTTTATGAGAACGAGGAGGTTTCCACAGGCCCCCGTCTCCATCTCCATCCTCTTCTCTGTGGGCATATTGAAGGAGTAAATGTGGAGTTAACTATTTTAAGGCAAATCATCCCCATCCTCCCTTTTTAAAAGAAAACGTGTTGTGGAGAAACGTGTCCTTTTCCTAAGTATGCACTCACAGCTAAAATAGATCTTCTTCCCACAACGTATGTCACACATTTTCCACCTGTGACCTTGGGGCTCGTGAAAATTAAAAAAAAAAAACAAAACCATGCAACTTTAAATTTAATCATCCAAGTTTTAGCTGTACTAGCATAACTACTTTATTCACTTTCCAAGAGTTGATATGAGGAAAAATAAAGAAGAGTTGATAAAATATAAATAAAATAATAAAAGAAAAGAAAAGAAAAGAAAAATAAAAAAGAGTTGAAATAAAGAAAAAGTCATCAAGGATGAACCAAAACATGCCTGAATATTCCTGTTCCCTCAAGGACCCAAAAGGCTTACCTTTTAAGTTGTGAGTGCAAATAAGTAGTTAACTTAGTAGTTTCCTCAAGTTTCTGTAGCAGCTCTTTCCTTCGCTCTTCCAACTGCAATCTGGAAAAAGAAAGAGACATGAATTTATGGCCACGTAATTACGGTAAGGCATGGAAACTGAAGGAAAAGAGTCTGATTCCATAAACACCACGTACTACGGGGGGGGGGGAGGCGGTCCAAATGAGTCGACTCGAGAGAAACAAGAACAGCAGTGAGAGGCGACATGGCCGCGAGCTAGAGGAAGAGGGAGACCTAGCCCGCATCTCCGACGTTACTGGGAAGCTTACAACATTCGATAACCTGCAATTTTTTTAAATGAATAAAAAAAAAAAAAAAAGAAAAGAAAAAAAAAGCCCCTGGGCTCTTACAAGGTGTGGAAGACAGCAAGGAGGAAAATCACAAGCCACTAACAAAGATTACAGAACCTTGCACGGGCCTGGGGCCTGGGCTTAAATCCCCACGACACTTGGCAGTAGTGACAGGCAATCTGTAAAGGACTGTTGTGAGCACTGGGACTGACAAGGACTGTTCTGGACTAATATTTAGTGACAACCATTCCAATCTCACTTTGATGAGAATTTCAGCGATTAAGAAACAAATTAGTCCACACTACCGCTGTGAGCTCGTTTGGGCTAAACTGCTTAAATGAGAAAAAGGCACAGAAGTGATTTCTGTTCCCATCATAACACATCTCCTCGCCTGCGCCCGCTATCGTGAAATTTCATCCACATTCAACTGAACAAGTTTTTTAAAAAAAAAACTTCCGAGGATTAGGGAACCGTGTATTTGAGTGAGTTATTTCAAGACGTCAACAGGCATGCTTGTCGGCGTCAGCTGAAGGTCTTCACACGTCCCTGGCCTGAGCCCGTCCGGCGTGGGCATCGGCGGCAGAGCGGGACCCAGAAAACCATCAGTGTTTCCAGTGGATTTGCTGTGGTGATCGTGTGTCCTTAAACAAGTCACTTCAGTCAAGGGATCCCCATCTGCTCATCTGCAAATCGGCGATTAAAATCCTCCTGCGTCTGCCCGCGAGGGCTGTTAAAGGGATCAAATGCAGTGATGTACGAGCAAGTGCTCCTCACACATCAAAACACACCCTCTTTGTTCAGTGCCTCAGATGCCTTGCAAGGTGGGGATATAAAAATTAGCTGTTTTTCTTTGGAGGCAAAGAAAATTTCCCTAATTTCTAACCTCTTTGAAATGTATGTGTTAGGCAGTAAGGAAACATGCCCATATTTTATTTATAGCTATCTATCCTCTGATGTGTCACCCACACAATTTCATTATATGTTAAAATAAAAAAAGCAATTCTTGTCATTTTGTTTAGTACTTCAAAGCACGATAAATTCTTAATTCCCAGCTTTCAAGGGTGTATTTTGAAAAGGAATACAGTGCCTATTTTTTTAAATTTCTTAAATATAAACAAAAATGCAACATGGGAAAAAATGACTATGAATCAGATGAACTGAATCGCAAGGTATCAAGGTCTAGAGAAAGCCAGGCACCTACGAAAACCCACGTCTTCTGAAACAGGAGCAACATTTTTAAAACTTAAGATTTAAAACTAAATACTTCATGAACAAATGAAGGCTTTTCTGGCGTGTTAAGGAGGCTTTGCTCTGACGTTACCGTGTTTCACCAGAAACTAGAATCCAAAGCTTTCGGCCTCTCAGGCTCAAGCACGGTCCCCACTGCAGCACCCCCCACCCCTGCCGACTCCAGACCCCTGGACTCGGCTCCGTGTTCCCGTTTGCCGCCCCCACACCAGACCCGGAGCTCCTGGAAGGCAAGCGCCAGGTCTGCCCAGGCTGCCCGAAGGCACTCCCTCCCTCGTGGCCGTGTCTACGGGTAACACCTTCGTTGGGAGAAGCACAGTGAGGCACCGGGAGGGTCGCAGAAGCCCTTCCAGGGGAGTGGCTGTCCTCGGTCAGTCACCCCACCCCGTGTCTGATGTCACTGAAGCCCGCAGCCTCCCTCAGTCCCCAGCTGCCTCAGGACCAGGGATAAGAAGAACCGCTCGGACAGCAGCCCCTTCACGAGGGTGTGTTCCAGTCTCTGCAAGCCCTTCCTCAAGCTGAGAAAGGGTCCTTTTAACCCGGCCCCTCCCGCCGCTGGTCCACGGTCCACACTATCCATTCAGCCGCCCTTCGCAAGACCAGGGCAGCACCTTCACACTGACCTCTCTCTGCCCTTGCGCCCTGAGACACACAAGCACCGGCCTGGGGCCCCCTGACGAAGACCACCCAGAACTTTCCACCTGGGGGAAAGGTCATGTCATCTACAGAAGAAGTTCCTTTTCCGTTAAAAATGACACTCATACCCCCACCTACTTGCTTTAAAGTTTTTTCAAAAGCAGAGGCAAAAATATTCACATAATTAAGGAACAATGAAGACATCTTGGCCAGATTTAAGATAAAACCTGCCAGATTTGTGAGAAAATAAGGAGCAAGGTTATGATCTTATCAGCTACAGGAAAGCACTGAGGCTTCAGGGTCTCAACAGCCGAATGGAGAGAGAAGTCCACACGGCCTGACGCTCCCACTGAGAGCCGCTTCTCTCTGCTGCGGTCCCTCGCAGGGAGCCTCTCCCTCTTCCCCAAGCGCTTTGCGGCCCTAGGTGGGAGCTTCCTCACCGCATGTGAGTGCTCCCCCCCTGGTTCGGAGGGGCACACAGCTGGGGGTCTCTGGGGCCACAAACATCGCTGAAATTCAGGTGAGCTTAGCTCCTGCAGAGACTGAAATTCAGTAGTGACTCAATCTCGCCTGATGCCAGCCCCCGACATGATGAGAAACCCACAGCATAAATGGGAAGCAGAAGAGCTGGGGGTCGCAGAAGTGGTTTCTTGGAGAGCCGTGTAGCTGTCAAGGGGAGACTGGGGCGGAGGGGGGGCGGATACGTCCTGGTGAAGAAATTTGTTTCATGACGGAACCAAGTCTTCTGCAGAGAATCTTTTTTCCCAGAAGAGCCTCTGGCCACCACCTGCTGCAGCACTGAGGAAGCACCCTGTCCACAGGGCCCCTCTCATGCCTTCAAAAGCATCCCGCACAGTAGCAACAAGCAAAGCAGAAGTAATACCGTAAGTACACACAGTAGAAAGAAATAGCGCAGAAGAAGAAAAGGTGGCCGAGCATAGAGGAGTGAAGCAGAGCCACAGCAACAACAACAGAGTCCAAAGCCAACCCATCTGGGTCTGCTCGGGAGACAAAGCTCCCAGCGCTGCCGCTGTGCTCCCGGAGTGCTCCCTTCGGCAGGTGGCTCTGCTCTCTGGGGCATGGGAGAAGCGGGACCGTTTTGCATCCAAGGACAGCAGTGAGGAACGCTGAAGTTGCTCGAGCGAGAGAATGTTAGCCCCTCACCCTGAAACTACAACATAATGATGGGGATCTGCTTTTGGCCAACAACATGCTACGAAGACAAAACATATACCTTTCCCTGCCGGCTCACGTTACCATCCGGGTGTGGGTGATGGGCTCATGCAGGCTTCCTGAGTTAGAGGGAGAGTCAACCTGCTTTGTGCCCATCTGACCCAAACCCTGCGTGGACCTCACTAACAGATCGCTCTCCTGTTCCCGATGGGCTCACACTTACTGCCTCTGCGGGGATCTGCATGGTTATTACACAGATTATGCACAAGCCAAAGTACGAAGGCCAAAGCTGCGGCACTTGGGAACAAACTTTATTTTTAATGTGACTTCATGAGTCATTTTTGCGGCTCTAGCCCGAATAAAATAGACAAGACAGCACACCTGTCAAGTGTGATTAAAGCAAACACGTACCTGTGTTCTCTCTCCCAGAACAAATATAAAATGTAGAGGGTGTGTATAGGCCCTTCCCAGGCTCACACACCAGAGAACGGCTGGGATGCACTTCGTGTGGGAGGCAAGCATGAGTAGACAACAATTAGTAAGCGTGACACAGCACACAAACACACTTGCTGCTCTGTACGTGGGCCGCACAAAAACTACTCATCCCGTCATATTTACTGGTGATTATCAAACTTTTATCCTAGAAATTTAAGCTCCATAAACACGGACATGACATCAAGGTCATTCAGGAAAACAATGAAATTCTGCCTTCTCTCCCGAACTTTTCATTCCTTCTGCTCTGTGTTGGGTGGATCGTTCCCTGGCCGACCTTGCTGACATCTACCTTTGGGGCGAGCCTTCGATCGGCACAACTAGACAGGTGTCCGAGCGGGAGGGGTGGGGAAGAGGGGACAGGTGGGCGGTGAGAATTCTTTGAGACTCGGAAAGGACATGAGGCTGTAGAGGCTTTGCCTTCTGATGCCTGTGCCTGCTCGTCAAGCTGTAGCTAGGCGTCACCTCAACCAACATTTAACTCACAAAAGTCACTCTCCCCAGGTGACTGAACTCGGGCAGCCAAGTCCACGTGCTAATGCCTCCCCGGGAACGTCAGTGTTCTCCATCCTACCAGCCCCCCTCTACACTGCAAATAGTTTATTACGGAGACACGACCTCAACCAGTCACAGGGGACAAGGCACTAGAAAGCAAGAAGCCAAGAAGCCAAGAATTAAAAAAAAAAAAAAGGCAATTGGAAGATGTCCTAACATTACTTCCAGGTCCCTTGAAGTTACATGAACATGACCTTCCTTCCTGTCAGTCTGGGTCAGGCATGCTGGCCTCGAGTGTGTGGCTGGTGCGCGGCTGGGCCTGGACACAGGGCCCCTGTGCACATGTCTCCACGGCACGCCTATCCCTGGTGTCCCCGCCCATGCGCTCACAGAGCTGCATGCTCTAGATGAAGTGGTCAGCTCCCCCCTCCACCCCTGCCCGGAAAGATCGGAAAAGTGCTGCAAGTGTTTCCCTGGACATCTTCACCTGCTCCAGAGGAGGGTTTCAACTGACAAACCAAATCCAAGTGAACATTTTGTGACCTGTTAGGACACCAAAGGGAGCAAGCTGTCTTTGCCTTGTGAAATGAAAAGCAATAAACTTTTGCATTCTTGTGAGTCATAAAACCCAGGGTAGGAAGCTTCCGCGGCTCTAACAGTCCAGATAATCTTTCTTATCTGAGTGCAAGAGTTTACAGCCGTTGTTATCACACTCGGTCGGCGATGTACCACATTCCTGGTTTTATGACAACATTCCTTACTTATTCACATCTGTCCCAGGCACGTTCGCGTCCCTAACAAACGGGAGAGTGGACACCGCAGGCCATTAGCAGGGTGATGCCTTACAGAAAGAAGGCCCTGGGAGCCGGGTCTGCGTGCACAGAGAACAGACGCAGTGGTGCTCTACAGGGACCAGGGGACGGCCCCTGGGCTAGGGGAGATGCACCCCCGGGGAGGAGCACCAACCTCTCGGCCAGCGCCCGGCTCGGCGGGGCCCGCACGGCCAGCAGCTCCTCCTCCAGCCGCTGCCTCTCGGCCTCCAGTCGCTCCAGCTCATCGCGGGTGCGCTTCTGTGGGGTGACGAACTGCAGCTCTTTCAAAAGCTCTTCTTTCTCATTGATCAGCATCAGCTTCTCCTTCTCGATATCCAGCGCCCCGGGCCAGGTCTCACTGTCCAGTTTCGACAGTTCAATTTTTAAGTTGGCCATACTGAAACGAGAGAGGTGCATACAGACTCAGAGCTCCCAAGAAAGGGCAAACGTAACCCAGGAGAGGCTGGGGGGTCTAGATACCGTCCTGACACTACCCAGGGACCCTCCCCGGTGGGGGGTGTGATCACCTGGCGGGAGGCAGGTAACAGCAGCCGGGCATGTAGCCCTTGGCCCCACCCACACCTGGCTCTGGGCTCCCACAGTCTCCCCACCTTTAAACACAAGTAAGCCAACCTGCCTAGCTAAAAAGAAGAGCGAAGGTCAAAGTACACCCAACCTTAAAAAGCAGAGAGCACTGGGAGTCCCCGCAGGCCTATGGGGACGTGTGGCTGCCTGGGCAGGGTGACAGCAGGGACACCCGACAGCTTCCATTACAAACAAACAATTCGGGTAAATTGTGTCTGCCATGACATTATTATAGGTTTTGTTCCTCTGAGTGCAAACACTGTCCCCTAGTAAAACGGGGGTCCCCAGGGTCATCAGCCCAGCAGGGAGGATGAGGGGAGAAGACAGAGCAGTGGCCTGGCTGACCAGCAGTACAACAAAGTCGATCCAGCAGGGATCCCACGTCACCAAGGGAAAGGGAGCAGCCCTGTCCCCACCCCAGGCCTCTGGCACTGAGCTGTGCACTGTGACACGGGGGCCTACTCATTGAGCCAGCGCTGCACTGCACCTGACCCGGTCCCTCAGCATCCAGGAGCTGTCCGGGAGCACGCGGCTCCCCGTGGACCTTCACCAACACGAGCGCTGAAGCGCTCCACCAGAGTGACAGCAAGTGCTGGGGTGAGGGGGACAGGGATGGGGAGACGGCGGGGGGAGGAAGAGGAGGAACCAGCAGAGGGAAACTTCACTGCTCTCATCTTTTTGCCTGAAATCAGATTCCACTATGTCTACAGCTTCACACTAAAGGGCAAAGTCAACTTCCAATTGAATAAGAATGTTCTGGGGGCACCCGGGTGGCTCAGTCGGTTAAGCATCCGACTCTAGGTTTCGGTTCAGGTCATGATCTCACGGTTCATGAATTCAAACCCTGTGTCGGGCTCCGTGCTGTCAGTGAGGAGCCTGTTTGGGATTCTCTGTCTTCCTCTCTCTCTATGCCCCTTCCCCACTCAGTCTCTCTCTCTCTCTCAAATAAATGAATTAATTTTAAAAATGTTCTGACTGGGGGCGTATGGGTGGCTCAGTCAGTTAAGCGTCCGACTTTGGCTCAGGTCATGATCTCATGGTTTGTGAGTTTGAGTCCTGCGTCGGGCTCTGTGCTGACAGCTTAGACCCTGGAGTCTGCTTTGGATTCTGTGTCTCCCTCTCTCTCTGACCCTCCCCTGTTCACACTGTCTCTCTCTTTCTCTCAAAAATAAATAAAACATTAAAAAAATTTTTTTAAATAAAAAATATTCTGACCATCTGAATCAAAACCTTGCTCTCTGGCACCATCAGGACTATCAGAGTCGTCCAGGAGGTAAATGGCACGTGGCTGTTTTCACCACGAGCACAACATCCAGGTAAATGAGGAACACTACTAAAGTTGGCACGGGGAATCTATACTCTTATTAAAAATCAAAGCTGGATGGTTACTCTGGAGGCTACCACAGCAAATACCGGAATACGAGACGTAGACAGAAAGGGGGCTTTTTTTAAAATGTTTTATTTCTTTCTAGGAGAGACAGAGAGAGACAGCGTGAGCAGGGGAGGGTCAGAGAGAGAGGGAATCACAGAGTGAAACGGGCTCCAGGCTCCGAGCTGGCAGTCAGCACAGAGCCAGACGCAGGGCTCGAACCCACGAACCGCGAGATCATGACCTAAGCGAAAGTCGGACGCCCAACCGACTGAGCCACCCAGGCGCCCCCTTTTTTTTACTTTTTGATGGAAGAAGTTGTAGAGGGAAAGAAAAAAGATGAACAAAATAATGTTATGAGGACAAAGATGGATGTAGTTCCATAGTTTCTTGTTTTAGTTCAGATAACAACTGCTGCCTATGGTGGACACACAACGTAATTCTGATCTGCCCCTACCGTCTGCACTTACGGTAGATATAACATCAGCTATCCTTCAGCTTTCACCACAAAACCATAAACAACTGTCTCAGTGTACTAGAAAATTAATCATCAAAATGCTAAATAAGCATGATATTATTGGCTTCATTAAGCACATAAGACAAAGGCTGGAGGAGAAAACGGGTTTCGGGGCAATACAACCCACCGCTTTACTCACTCGGAATCGAGGAAGAAAAGCATTTTCAACATATGCACAAACCCCCGAGGTTTACCTTCTCACCAGCATCACCAGTAACTTTAAAATAAAACCCCAAATGGTAATAGGAAAGCAGTGCAACCACGCGGGAAAGAACCCATGTTTTCAGCTCTGATGTGACTGAATAACGACAGAACTGCAGTGACGATGTAATGAAGGAAAGAGGCGCACCTACTCCTCGTGGGGTCGGGCGTGCCGTGGGCCTGCACGTTGATTTAGAAAGGGTACACCAAGTCTGGGGGACGAGATGTGAGCCCGGGAAGAGAAGTGCGGGTAAACTCCAGATGGAGTAAATCGCTAGCGGCTGGACTAAAGCGAAAGTTCAAGCTGGCTCAAGGGAAGGCGAGCGGAGCCCCAGAGATCCCGGGGCATGGGGCGCGGTTCTGCAGAACTAAATCTGAGTCATGGCCGTTCCCCTTCGGAAAGCGGGATACAGGTCCCGGGCTTTGCCGCAGAGCCCCGGAGTGCAGCCGCCAATGGGTTGGCATGCCCACAGCCGGAGGGCCACACACAGCGTCAGCGGAGTCGGCCTGCACGTCACCCGGCCACAAACCCACAAAGCAATCCCCAGTCCTTACGATGGAGGGCAGGGCATGGCCTGGGCACTGAGCAGCAGCCAGTGTTGTACACCAGATTTTTCAGAACCTCAAGAAACTTAAAATCTACCCAGGAAAACTTATAGGCATTAAAATTAACTGAGTGAAATGTTGTTTAGAGAGACTAAGTGACTTGTTCAAGCTCACACAGTAGTTTGTGGAACAGAGCTTAGCCAGGGTTTCTCGTATTTTTGTGTTTTCAGTAAAAAAAGAACCAAGTAATATCAGTAACAGAGGTTACAAAGAGGCAAATACTGTATTTAGGAAAATCAAATAATTGCTTTGTTAAACCTCTAAGAATTTTTGCTAATTACTTTTAAGTAATCCTCATCACCAATAATAATGGATATACTTCAATATCTATCTGATGGTGTTATAGGAAACTGTGACATCCTAGCAGGTTCTCAGCTGAGCTTTTCATGTTCTTGAGGCGGAACATATGTTAACTCTGTCGCCTACAGGGCGATCATGCAGTTTCTCCCCCGCCAATGTCTTCCTAAATCATAAATCAGTAGCATTTTTAAACTCTAAAAAGGAAAATAAGGAAATCAAATATAGCAGTATGACCCTCCCCCACAAAATGTGCAAGGTGTCCATATAATGAAAACAAGCTGAGCCTGTCTACTGGATGAGGAGGGAGCAGTCTCCTGAACCTTCCCCAGAGTCACAAGGCAAGAAAAGAAAGCACAGGGTTCGGAGGGAAAGGAGGGAAATACGAATCTCTCCTTCTCTGCCCTGAAGTCAGTCGCAGGAACAGACAGCGCAGCATCTTCAAGGTCATTAGCAGCAAGTCTTCCCCTCCAAGCAAAGGAATTAAGGCTGTTTACCTGAGAGCTCAACTACTATTATTAAGCCCTGTACCTAAGCCACTATCAGACTCCACCTAAGAGGCCAATCTTCCCGCTTGTGCTCCTGAGCAAAGACTGTACAAGTTCAAAGCTTCTTTCTTCCCGAAGACAAGGGGGCCGTTTCGTGCCCACACTTCTCATCAATTCTTCTTTTCCCCCAGCTCTGGGGGGAGACAGTGCGCAGGGAGGGGGGTCCCTCAACCCTTACATCTAAAAGCCTTGCAGAGCAGGCCAGGGAAGAAGGCGCGGGGAACACCCAGCAGATGTCACTATATGAGTAAAGATTAATCCCGGAAAAGAAAATCCTGTTTGAGCCGCTGGCCGCTGACTAGCTCCCCTGCGGTTACCTTCTTTTGGCTTCTTCATACTGTAGGCTCAGCCTGACCTTTTCAGCTAAATTTGATCTACTTCTCATTCCGATCTGGTAAAAAACAAAAGGGAGAAAAGTCAATTAACTCTGCTAATGAATGAAGGTAAACTGCTTTTGTTTCTAGGAAGCACAGTAATTGGAAAACTAAAGAAGATGGTCTTGAAATCAGGAACGCCAGTTAAAAAGGCACTTACTTTCTAGTCTCAGTAGGGGCAAAACACTTCTTTTTAATTCAAGTTGGTCTGTTTTTCAAAGGCTGCAACATCATTTCCCCCACACATTAGACTCAAGATAAAAAAGTATCATGTCAATGTTTCTGGTATCTTAGAGTTTACGAAGGGAATACAGTCAATAAAATTTATGACCCGAAACTAATTTCCTTGGCTCCCTGAGCCAAAATTTCCATCATTTAGCTTCGAAATGCATAAATAGAAACTAAACAAATTCAAAAAATAATTTTTCAAACAGGTAAGCCCTACTGTTGATCTCTGCCTGTTTTATTTTCATAGCATAGCATTCGAAGAAGCAGAAGAGAATATGGAAATAACCAGAAATGTACTGAAAAGTAAATATCTGCTAAATGGCATCCTAAAGAGGAAAATGCAAAATAGTTAATAGTTTTCAAGCCATATTAAATATTTTCAAATGCTGGGCATAAACCACACATACATTTTAATCTAAACAACCTTGGACATAAAAAAAAATCTGTTAGTTTTTAAAGGCATGTTTTTTGTTTCTCATTAGCCTCAATGTTTAATTGAAAAGATCTAAATTTCTAAGACTCTAAGTTTAACAGGGAAAACTTAAATTCTTATGTGTCTCTCACCTTCCAATAACGTCTCTGAATATATATGAGAAAGTTTGAGCAGAGCCATTCATACAGACAAATCCGGATACGCGTGACATCCGGACAGAAAAGATAAGGCTCTGATTTTTAAACCCAATCTGTGAATATGAAACAGTGGATCCACACAGGTGGAATTCAAACCACCTAGCGAGCTCCTGTCCTGCTTGTCATCCATACAGTAACTCAGGCCCCCACCGTGGCTGGCGCTGGGGCCAACCCTTCATGTGGAGAACTTACATCTCCAGAAATGCTGGTTTGTGACCCGGCGTCAAGGGTCTGTCTGGAAAGAGACAGATGGGAGTTCACCGGACTGGACCTCAAGTCTGGCTCGGATGTGCCCATGCTCTGATCCAAATGGAACCGCTCCTGTAGCTTAGCAAGACTCTGTTCAGGAAACACAAAGTCTTACATAACGCTGAACATCTGGGGTGGCAAAACGCACCCAGCAGGTAGAATTAAATTCAAAGAAGTGATCTCAATAGAAAAAAACAACCACTTTATTTTAACAGGTACTTATCACTTTAAATTATTGAAAACAGTAAGATTAGAATCTAGTTTCGCGTGGACACACACACACACACACACACACACACGTGTGACTCTGGAGGTATGTGAGATCATAATAAACAGATTATCTTACCTTTTCCAAGCTGGGATTATTCACGCTGTGCTTAACGGCACCTTTACATTTAATACATACATTTCTTATTTTTAACAATCGAAAAGATCTCTATTTTAAAAATTTATTTGTTTTTAGTGTTTATTTATCCTGAGAGAGAGAGAGAGAGTGCAAGCGGGGGAGGACCAGAGAGAGGATGAGAGGGAGAATCCCAAGCAGGCTCCATGCTTAGCGCAAAACCCCACGTGGGGCTCGAACTCACAAACCGTGAGATCATGATCTAAGCCAAAACCAAGAGTCGGACACTTAACCGACGGAGCCACCTAGGTGCTCCAAAAAGATCTCTATTTTAAAATGATTCATCTTAACGCAGCAGAAATTATGTAAATGTGGAATACCGACAATGCAGTCTCATTTTAGATAAAGCAAGAAAACTTCCTCCTTAGCAGACTTCTATAATTATGCCATTTTACAACTGCATGGGACCCAAGAGATTATCTGCCCCCATTAACATCAGGATGAGGAAACTGAGGCCCAGAAGTTGAAGTGCTTGAGGCTGGTCCAAGCCCATCTTTGCACTGACTGCGTGCCAATGCCATGATGATGATGTCTGGTTTTGTAAAGCAAATAACCAAAGCTGAATGTGGCTGTCATTGCCACCTGTGTTTAATATACCAAGCTTACTTTCAAGAGAGGATGTGAGTAAGCAGAAGTATTAAAAAGGAGAAAAATCTTAGCTAAATTGTTCCCAACCCTCTCCCACCCTAAATGACTAATAAAAGTGGTAAGAAGCTCATTATTGCCAGCTTTAAGAAAAGCCAGGATTTAATCCCAGTATTTACAATTCTTACAGTAAAAAATGAGATATGTCCCAAAAAACTAGAAATATCAGAGATCTGACATGTGCCTTTTACCTAGCCTTCTTTATTTTCTTTCAAAGGGCCATATGCAAAACGTATATACAAGAGGGATAAGACTTCAACGATCACATCAAATATATTACAGAAAAGAACACAGAAGCCTTTTAGTGACTGGGCAAGTCTCTTCTAGTTTTTCATCTGTACTATGGAAAGATTAGTATTTTTCAAGCCTGTCAGGGACGACAGTGCACCTATCAATTTAGTAGGTCGTGACTAGCATGTTTTGTGATGAAAAAGAGGAGACGAGAAAATCAATTCGGACCACATTACCAGTATTAAGAGTAGGCATACGTCTGTCATATATGAGTGAGTGTGTGTGTGTGTGTCACACACAAATATAAAGACATTTGTGTGTGACTGGATTTTCATGCAGAATATATCTCTTACCGTGGGTCCTGATCAAAGAGGTCTGAAATGCTACCCACCTAATGTTCCTCTTAGCCCTACTATTGATTTCTATATCTACTAATTATTTTATATACTTTAGACCTACAAACTTTAGATCTATGATGTGCATTTTAGGAACTACTGTTTTAATCATTGGCATCGCTGTGGAACAAAATAAAAATATATCCAAATAAAGTTTTCTATGTTTCCATATATGTTGAAAATCACATGTTCTGGAGCAAGACTGCCTGGGTTCGAACCCAAGTCCTGCCACTTCTGAGCTGTGTGACTTTAACGAGGTCCCTTAACTCTGTGTACTGCAGGTTCCTGGTCTGAAGTGAGAACAGTACGTGTCCACCTCTAGGCCTGTTGTCAGAATTAACTGAACTACTTCCACGCGAGGCAGGGAGATGACTGCCCTGTACACAGTCAGTATTTACAAGGATCTGCTACTATTACTATGGTCTTTTCTATTTCATCTCTTCTAGCAAGTTATTTCAAAATTCCCTAAATGCACAATTATAGGTGTTTAGGAATCTGTGCCTATATTCTGTCAGCATTTTAAGAACTGGCATGAAGTACCTGAATAAACTATTTCAGGGCAGAAGTTCTACAAACGCAAACATTGCCCTTGGCTCTAACATTTTCCCAAAGACACAGATGGAACCCTTACTCAGAACTCCAAATATCTCAAGTACGAAGAGTTCTCTGACTCTGTGATAATTATGGGATGGAGGGAAGGTAAGTGGAGGAAGAGATACACTCTTAAAAAAAAAACAAACAAAATCTGACTGTACCTGCTGGAAAAAAAAAAACAGTTAAAATGCAGGACACTGATCACCGAATGGCTGTTTCTTTCGCACACGAGGCCGGATCCCCTCCAAGCTGAGAACCGGACAGGTGTAACAAGGGGACCCGCCGCTGTCAGCTTTCCCCGGAGGACGGGATGGCTGTCCCCTGGCCGGGTCAGCGCCCCCCACCCCTAGCTGGCACTTCCCAATCACCTGGGCTAGGGCGAAGCTTTTCGAAGCTCCTCACATGCCCTCCCCACACTCCTCAAGCCATCTCCTCCACTTGCTGACGACCAGGGATGTACCCTTCATGCGTCCCGGGCTGAGATCACCCCACTTCTCTGGTTTCCACGTGAAGGTGCAGTGAGTGCAGGGTGCGCCCAAATGCTACTCACATGGGCCCCGGGACCCACCACATCCTGTCCCAAAGGCCACCGAGGCCTGCCTTCAAACAGCACATCAGAGCCTTGGAACCAACCTGTTGCCCCCCAAGGCAGCCTGTTGCCTCAGTGCCCGCAAGCATCTCTACGGAAGCAAGCGCTGTACGGATGAGGCAGGGTGACAGAGCGCCAGCCACACTCACAGGGAGAGCTGCTGCCTCAAGGAGTCACTGGGGCCCCCAACGGCCCCCTAAGGCTTAACAAAATGCTCTGTAACATACCTGCATCAGATCCTGCTTTTCTTTTTCTCCTGAGCTGATAGCCTTTCTGATAGATTTCAGTTCCGTTAGAATGGCTTTGGCTTCATTAAGTTCATAGCCACTCTGGCCCCCAGACATTTTCTTATCAATTCTGTTAAAAGAAAGAAAAAAAAAAGAAAAAAGAAAAAAAGTCAACGACCGTTGACAGAGTACAAGGTAAACGAAGAGCAGGAGCTGGTCTGGGACAACCGTAGTTCCCGATGAGTTTGCTACTTGCTCCCCACGCACCAGCATCCTTTCAGGCTGCGTGACCCTCCCGTTTTCTCTTCCAGCCCCTTCTGGCTCACACCCCATCGCCCACCTCACGCCCAGTCCGTTTCTCAACATGTTCAGGCTCAGTCCTTTTGTCTTTGGTCGGTTTGGGTGATCCCGTCACTGGCTGAATTCAAACCTCCCCACGCTAACGTGACCTGCACCCCAAGAGAGGTTAAGTCCAAGGGGAAATGACATAGCCAGGGAAAAGCACCCATAAACCGAACTGCAGAAAGTGTGGGGCCCCTCACTGCCGCCTCATCCTACAAGCCATGATGTCTGTGCAAAGCCAAGCACGGGGGGGGGGGGACGTAACTTAATTCTTTGTGCAGGAAGGACCCAACCAAATTACCTAATTCTTAAAAAAAAAAAAAAAAGTGGTTTAATAGTATCCTATCACTCTCCAGCCCCTGATGCTGCCCAGGGTTCACAACTCGGGGTTCACTTGAAGACCAGAGGGCCATGCGTCTGCCCCATTGGCCAACAGCTCTCATTTTTGGACATAATTCTTAGTCTGATCCACAGAAAAATGGCACCTATTAAGCCACAGAAAACGGGCTCTGAGCTCATTCAGTTTAAAACATGTCATGATGTAAATTTATGTCAGTGTGAAGGGTGTAATCTGAAAAAACAAAAACAGAAACAAACCAAAACCCACAACGATGCCATCTTATGCTTCCAAAGTTATTCAAGCAAGTGCAGTTTGTAGATGATCTATTTCCCCAAGTACTATTTTAGTAAATATTTTATTGCTGGACAGTCTTAACCTAAGAAAATCAAATAAATTTCATTATGAGGTTATTCGGTAATAAAGTACAACTAATGACGTCACTGAATTAAACAGCCGCGTGCACACGCACATTAGTGTTTGGGGTGGGAAGGGGCCCTAGAGATCTACTAGTCACACTTCCACCAAGTGAGAAAGTAAGACCAGAGAGTTTGCACGAGTTTAGCCCTGAAAATGCATAAACACTTAGCTAGTATGGGCATAATCCTCAAAATGACAGACTTAGGCTTAGGGCTCCACTGATGATTACACTTAGAATATTTGATAAAAATCACTGAGAGTACTTCAAATATTGGTTAATTCCATTTATCTGGGCAAGGATTTATCAGCGAAATTGTTGGCTCCCTTAAGTATAAGATCTACCAACTTAGCTGAAGCAAAGAAACTTATTTCAGTTAAAAACAAAAACAAAACCCTGAGATTTCATGAAGTAGCTACTATCACGACTCTTAAACTGTGTCAAAGTGAATTTCTAAAGCCCAAGCGATTTCTTCCTATTTGTGTAAAGCCTTCAGAATCGAACAGCAAAACACATCTTGAAGTCAGAAATCAACTTTAACATCTGAGAACAAACAAAGTAGGTAAATTTCTGTTTTCAGAAATTAGCGTTAACACTTAAAAATAAAGGCAGGACTACTTCAAGTCTGCTCAGTTACACTTCAGAGGGCTTCAGAACTAGACAAAAATTTCCTGGCTGCCCACTGCAAGCTCAGCTGGGTGCTAAACACAAGGACAGGCTATTTCAACTCCATGCCTACCACGGAGCTTCTTCTGGACCTTCTCTCTTTCTTCTGCCTCCTTTGAGCACCTCTGTCTCCCTCTGACTGTTCTGTTCTGTTTCTCCTTTCCTCAAACTCTACGTCTCCCACCTTTCCTGTTTCGACCCTAACCGACCATAAAATAAAACCAAACAAAAATCAAACAACATATGAGCATTATGTGCTGATCTTTAAAACAAACCACTGTGTTTTTTGTTTTTGAGAAATACCATTTTATATTCTTCCCTAAAAATTTTTTTTAAAAACCCGTTTTCCTTTCATTTCTTTTCCGTGCACCCTATTAGTAATTTCCGCTGTATAACACCTTTGTCTCTTCCGAAAGGGAAGAGATTCCCATTTGCATGCCTTCCCTGGGAAACATGTACCCCAAGCCAAATTTTCACACAATAGGTACACACTTTGGCTTGCCGAGTGCTTCATGTCGTCTCATTTTCCAAATTTGAGGGACTGCTGAAGGCAGCAAAGTAGAAATGTCCATCTACATATAAGCTATGCTATTGCTTAGGCTGAAGTCAACTTTGGGACCACAGGCTGAAATGAATAATGTAAAGAATAAAACTACATTCATTCATCCAGCATAAACTATTGTACCTGATAAAAGGAAAGCCTGCATTTAAATTACATTACAGCTCCAGATTTGGCAAAAATATTCCATTCTATTGCGAGTAAATGAAATGCTACAAAAGCCTGCAGTAGGATTCTATTTAAATCTCTTCCTGAAATATATTTTCTGTCAAAACCCCAACTAACAGTCTCTTTATAGCATCAGGAATATGGCCTCTTGGAAAATATGGTCTTGGGGTTCTATCAATTATCATTCAATGTTCTAGTAGCAAGGTGGTTAACATCTGAATGAAAACAGCTTTATTTTGTCTATAGTTAGGATCAACAAGAGAGGCCTCTGATGTTAGATATCATATCTTTCTGTCTCTGGTTCAAGGGATTAGAATCATTGTGAGAGAATGCCTGGATTCCTACAACAAATGTCTATTGTTTTCTTGTGGAATGTTATTGACAGATTCTTAAACATGCCTTAGATTCCTATAAAAATTGCTTGCAAGCAAACTGCTTTAAAACAATACAGCATTGTTATATCAATATAGCAAAAACAGCCAGTTTGGCTAACCTTTAATCCCAGGTGGTGACACGAGTTACAATTTCATGTGCCTAAAAAGTGTTTAACATACAGCTAACACTTGGGGACACTCTTCAGAGTCTGTCTTCTGGCTCCACCCCCGCCACAAAGCCATCCTCCATGTGCTGCGCAGCTGCTGAGTATCCCACTTACAGCATTCTAGATCCACTCAGCTTTGAAGGGGGGCCTCTGGGGCCCGCAAGGCCCTTAGAACACAGCTATCCATGAGAACCACCTGGGGATCTCATAAAATATACCTAGATGGAGACCCAAAACAGGTATTTTTTTAACAGATGATTCTAACAGGCAGTCAGGTTTGAAAACCACTAGGACAGGAGCATCTGAAAGAATAAGACGGTTATTATGACACAGGTGGCTGGAGAAAAAGAAGACGGCCACAAAACCAGTCTCTGAAGCCAAAGTCACGAGACTGGCGGTTGAGAGTCATGACCGGCGTCCTGACCTGTGCAGACATGCAGAACACCCAGCTTATGTGTGTCTGGCCAACAAACACACGGCCTTTACAGGGGATAACGCCTTCTGCGTTGGATGGCTACGGAGGGGAGAGTGGGGGAAGGACAGGAGGCTCCGCAGTTGGAACAGAGCCCTGTACACGGGGGAGGGAAGTAAGAAACAGTTGAATGCCTCTGGAGGGATCATGCCTTCAGGCCTCTCTGTGGTCACGTGGCTGTGAGAACCATCGCTCCTTACTGCCCACCAGAGACCCAGTGGTAGGACGGGGAGCGTTGGAAAGCTCAGTGTGCCTGTTGGGGTTTGGCTGGGCCGAGCCTCACCAGCAGGGAGAGCCATGGCTTCTGGGGGGGGGGGGGGGGCTGGGAATGGGGCAGGAGATCTCAGGTTCTGCTGCCCTCTGTCAGCCATATTTCCCTTAACTTGACCCAGCCTAGAGTTAGGCAGGACACAAGGTGGCGCAAAGGATGAGGCTGGAGGGGAAAGCGGTAGGGGACCTGAGGTGTTTTGATACAGGTGCAGGCTGAGGGCCCAAGCTAAGGCCGGAGCCTTGGGGGCGGGGAGAGCCATGGCTTCTGGGGGGGGGGGGGTTGCTGGGAATGGGGCAGGAGATCTCAGGTTCTGCTGCCCTCTGTCAGCCATATTTCCCTTAACTTGACCCAGCCTAGAGTTAGGCCAGTGCCCATCGGACTTGACTACAGAATGGGAAAGGACAGAAGGGTCACAGGAAATGAGGCACCCACTCAAGCTCGTCGTGGACAACCTGACTTGCTCCCTAAGATCAGCCCCGGACTCAGAGCAACAGAGGCTCACCTCCTCCAGCCGCCAGAGCCCAACATGGAGGCACTTCTTGGGCACATTCCCTTGCTCCATACCTCAATCTTAGAGCAGGCAGGCAGGGGCCTGGGGCACAAAGTTAACGTTCCCACTGGTGTCTTTGCATCTCTGATGATAAATAAAACTTCAGACCTCTTTAACATGTACAGATTTCCCCCAAGTTTTTGTTTGTTGGTTGACTGGTTTTCTTTGGTTTTGGTGGAGCTCTGAGCTTTCTACTTCGTGTTTCTTAGAGAAATCCCTTACGTAATCTGTACTTCTATTTTCTAGGTACTAGTTAGGGGGCTTTGAATTATTCTAAAGTGAATTTCAATAATTTTATACTCACTGTTGCAATGTCTCAAAGCCTTGTTCTTTATAGAGCAATTCTTGCTTCATCTGTGAGAGTTCTCTCTTCAGCTTTTTAACCTTTTGTGAGAAATCAATGTAAATATGAATGTTTGTAAATAATTAGCAACACTGTTGTAAAAGATAGTCTATTAGTAAGCTATTAAACACACAAACACAGCCATTAGTTTAACATTCACGCTACTGGTTTTCCCTGGACAGCAGTTCTGTGGAAGGTAGGTTAATGATGTTTAAATTATCAGTGATGTTCAGTGTTACTAACATTTACCCTCACCACCTTATTTGGTGACATTCCTACGTGCTGGCATCATGACTGCCTTCACTTTGTGATCAATAACCAGGAAGGGGAGTCAGAACTTGAAACCCCGGCTTCTCTAGCCCCGAAAGCATGTACTCCTCTTCCTCTCCTTCGCTCCACCCCAGGACCACTGGCCATCGCTGTTTCTCAAACACATCAGGCAGTACCTGCCTCAGAGCTTCTGCCACGTGCCGTTCCCTCTGGCTGGAAGGCTCAACTCCTGTCACCCAGGGTCTCAGCTCACATGTCGCCTTTTCATTCAAATAGGATTTCTCTAACCATCTCACTCCTGCTATCAATCTGTTTAGTGCGTAGTATTTCTCAAGTGCTGACATTTTCTGTGTCCTTGCTTACTGTCTGTGCCCCTGGGGGAAAGTAAGCTACATCGCACCAGCTGTATCCCAAACTTCTAGAAAAGTATCGGGCACCATGAGAAATAAAATGACACGGACAAGAAATGTCTGTTCAATAAACATTTGCTGTCAAACTGATAGTATTTTTTTTCCTGTTGTTCTTCACTATATTCTTGGTAATGACAATGCTAAGATGTGATAGGTCTACAAAAAGAGCAGAAGCCTGGTTTCGTCATAAACTAAAGGTCTTCACGTGGGTGTCAGAAATTTATTTCCGTATTACAGCCTTACGTTTTAAGCACATTCTGTCATACACTATTTCAATGTGCTTTGGAACTTTTATTTCCTATTTAGTCTCTCCGTTCCACAAATATGTCCTGACTTTCCGCTATGTGTCAGGTCCTGGGGTCTGAAGGGTGAGTAAAACAGACAAGACCTTTGCCCTTACAGATCCTAGGGGGCAAATAATAACATCTTAGGGAGATGTTGAGCAAATAATCCTCCAACGAAATAAATCTTACCAATTACCATGGGGGATACAAAGGAAAGGCTCAGGATACCTCAGGATAAAAAAGAAGGATGGGACCTGATTTAGTGTGAGGAGCTAGACAAAGCCGGTCTGCAGAAATGATGGTTAAGCAGAGCGGGTCCGTGCGGCTTCATTTGGTAAAGGGGGTCCTCAAAGAGTAGGGCCTGCAGACAAACCCTACACCGTGGGAGGAGGAAACTTAGCAAATGTGAGATTTGCTGAATTACAGAAGAATTCAGGGTGCGGCATAAGACTGGAAAGGAAGGCCTTACCATACCGAGTCGTGAAGCCATGGGGAAGAGTTCTAAATCGTAAGAACAATGAGAACTGAGGAGGAATTTTCAAGCATGACCTGTTTTATGATTTTCAAAAAATCCACTGCGATGACTCTAGTGACTGGACCAGCAGGGCGAATAGGGGCCATTGCCCCGACCCTGTGGGCTGGCCTCCGGGCTGGCCTCCGGGCAGCATGTAGGGAGCGGAGCCCAGAGCAAGAATGTACTGGGAGGCACAATCAGCAGGACTTGGTGGCAGACTCCACGTGGAGGGTGAGAGAGATGGGTCAAGGTCACTGCCAGGGTTGTGACTTGCCAGGTGGCCACACGAAGGTACCTCCCTGGAGGGTGGGGCCAGATCTCCGGGTGGGACCAAGGGTGTTCTTTAAGACATTTAGTTTTCTGACACCCATGAAACTTCAAAGGCAATTAGAATATGGAGGCTTGATGTTCAGAAGTGTCTGGACCAGAGATATAAAACTGAAAGTCACTGACATAAAGATGATGCTTTAAATGCATAAGAATTAATGAGATCCCCTAGAGAGAGTGTGTATTGGAAACAGAAGAGCTCAGGAACATGCCGCGGGCATCTCACATCATTCAGAAATCTACTCAAGGCAGGAACAAAACACACTGTGAGGTTGTGGCGAGAGAAGCTGGAGGGAAAAGGGGGCATTTCTCGGGAAATGGAGAGAAAAAGAGTCAAGAGGGAGATGAGGCACTAAGCAGAATAGAATGACCAGGACAAGAGTTGTGTACGACTCCTGTTTGGATCCCTAAAGGCACCGGGCTTTGGGCATTTTGGACATTCAATAATTTACCTGTGGATAAATTACCTGTGGAGCTTATCTGAATGTCCAACAGTCTGTGTCCTAAGGCACTTCTATTTTATTAGGGAAAAGGAAAAAAACAAATAATTTTGTTGCAAGGTGCAATTGAGAAGTACAAAAGGACGTGCAAACAACGCTTCTGGAACCCAGGGGACGGAAACCAAGGGCTGACCTCCAGGAGCAGCAGACACAGGAGGTGGATTTCTGAAAGTGCTTGAATATTCATGACGAGCAATGAGCAATGAGCTCCTGCAACGAGATTCTCAAGGCTTCTCAGTTGATTGGATCATTATTATCATGTCAAAAGAGCCATCAGCAATCAATAGCTCTTTCCACATGTGCTTCTGCTTCTGACAGCACTCTAAAGAGCTGTTTACCAAAGGCTGTAACATTTTTATTTTAAAACAACGACAACCACAGTTAATCCAAAACTCGATAGCAACTCAAATAGCTGGGCTGAGGCCTGTCTTTCCCTTTGAAGACACAGTTGATGAAACAGTGGTGAGTGAAGCCCACTCTGAACAACTGAATTAAAACAATCAGATCAGCATATCTCACGGACGTAAGATAGCATTCTACTTAAAATCATTTGGATTGAGATGACACACTCCTTTTAATTTCTTTCAAAATTTTTCATTCAAAATCCAAAGTTAACTTTTGACCTTTCAGACTCTTCCCTGTTTAAGTGATGTGAGACTTCATCATCCGTCAGTGACCAGGATAAAGGAAGTTAAGCTGTGCTTTCTTTCATTCTGCATTATTTACTTTACCTAAAGTTGGCTCTAAGCCACTGTTTTCATCCTGGAGGCTCCTCTTAGTGAATTACCTGAATGATTTTGACCTCTGAGTATCAATGTTGTATTTTAACATTGTTACCTATGAAAAAGCCTGATCTTATTATAATGACAAGTGAAAACAGGGATTCCTTCCAATCAAACATCATTTCCAATCGTTTCTGGTTTTAAGAATATGGTCTGAACGAGTTCAACATTTCTTCTCCGAGAACCATGTGACATCCTTAGCTGTTTCTACTCTCCCATTCTTCAGCTCACCCTCAAATGTGGGACAAGGAATGGAAAAACCAACATCCTTCGATCACAGCTAAAGGATTAAGCTAAAGCTGACTTGCAAATTTAGCACAACATAGAGAAACAATGATGGGAGCTAAAATTCAGGAGGACTTTATGTATTGCAGGCATTGTGCTAAATATAAATGCCTATTTTCAATCCTTGTAACTACTCTACAGATAGTTTTAATTCTTATTTTATAGGTGAGGACTCTCAAACCAAAAAAGAATAAGTAAGTAGTGTGCTGAAGGTTACACTGCTACCAAAGAGTAGAGAACAATCCAGAACCCAGGAGGTGGATTTTAAAATTAACTATAATTATACAAGTTTTAGCTATTAATGGCATGATAGTACATTTTGATAATACAAAAGACAAACCAGAATTTTGGAAAATGACTCAAATAAAACCTGTGACCCTGATTTTACCTAGAAACGGCATTATTCTTTTTTTTTTTAAGGTTTTATTTTTTTTTAATTTTTTTTACAAATAGTTTATTGTCAAATTAGTTTCCACATAACACTCAGTGCTCATCCCCACAAGTGTCCTCCTCCATGCCCATGCCCCCCACCCCCCCACATCCATCAGTCCTCAGTTTTTGTCAGCATTCAAGAGTCTCTCATGGTTTGCCTCTCTCCCTTTCCCCCACCATTTCCCCCCTTCTTCTCCCCCTTGTTCCTCCGTTAAGTTCCTCCTAATCCTCCTATACGTGCAGACATATGATATTTGTCCTTCTCTGCCTGACTTATTTAGCTCAGCATAACACCCTCAAGGTCCATCCATGTTGCTACACATGGCCAGATTTCATTCTTTCTCATTGCCATGTAGTATTCCATGGTATAGATGAACCACATCTTCTTGATCCATTCATCTGTTGATGGACACTTAGGCTCTTTCCATGTTTTAGCTATTGTGGAGAGTGCTGCTATGAACATTGGGGTCCATGTGCTCCTATGCCTCAGCATTTCTGTATCCCTTGGGTAAATTCCTAGCAGTGCTATTGCTGGGTCATAGGGGATCCATTGTTAGTTTCCTGAGGAACCTCCACACTGTTTTCCAGAGGGGCTGTACCAATTTACATTCCCACCAACAGTGTAGGAGGGTGCAAAACGGCATTATTCTTATATCCCACCCAAACTGAACACATGAACAGCCCACAAGCTTTAGGGCCTATTTTTTTTTTTTCTCTTACATACTCAACTTTCTGCCATAGCCAACCATCTAATTTCATAGACTTCCTTCTAAGGAATCAAATCTCACAACACTGAGTATCAAATTGGAGCCAAAAGACCCATGGCTGTTACACATTTCCTGCTTTCTATACTGACTACACTAAAGCAACTGACATTTTAAATTGATTTTGAAGTTATTTCTGAAAACCAGCAAGATACTGTGATTAAATGTGATGAGTATGACTGGAAATCACAGAGTTTCTTAGCATTTCTTACAATCCTGGTATAATAAGTTTTATTTTAAAAGAAGGAGGAAGAAGATGACAATGGAAGAAAAGTAAATTCCAGAAATCTGTGAACCTTGGAAGGCTCACAAGACAGGTTTCATACATCTGCCCTAAAAGTGAACCGCGCACTATTAAAACTATAATGAGCAAAATGGCATTTTACTAATGACTGCCTTCCCTTTTCACCACTTCCTCTACTCTCAGCTAAGAGCGCCTCAAGCAAGCCAACAAAGGGCAACTGTCAGCTCGC